CGCGCGACCCCTTCAGCCAAGACAGCTCTGACAGCTTTGACGCCGGACTGGGCGCGAAACTGCTTCAACAGTTTTAACGTTAAGTCGGGCGTGTCCCCCATACAGGGGGATTTTCAACGAAAAACGAACCAGACGCAGAAAGTGCTCCCCAATGGTCAAACAATACTCGACAAATTATTCCCATACAATTGTTTCAGAACGTCTTTCTTGATATTCACCCTGTAGAGGGACAGGCCCGACTTAATCTTAACGCCGGCTGCGCCTCACGGGGCCGTCCTCGGCGAGCTCGCCTCGATGCTCGGGCTGCTGCGGTGCCCGTCGGCGAGGCCACGGGGGCGCAGGGAGCCGCGCGCGGCAGCAGGCCGGCACGCGCCAGTGCCGAGCGGGCGCGGCTCGGGTGCGTGATGTCGGTGCCCTCCGCGGTGCGGAGGGGCCCTGCTCGGTCCCCGCCTCGGGCCCCCTCGGACGCCGCCACCCGCTGGCAAGCGTTCTCTTTTGTCCGGCGTGTCGACACTGGGCGGAAAAGGGGGGGGGGGGGGGGGGAAAAGGAAGGGGGGGAAAGGGGGGGAGGAAGGGGGGGGAAGGGGGGTGGGGGGGGGGCGGAAAAAAAGGGGGGACCTCTGCTCGCTGCGGCCGCTTGCGACGGCGCGCCCATACACGGGGGAGGCCCCACCTGCTCGAAAGAGGCGCCAATGAACAGGCGAGATCCGTTCCAGGGTGGAAGGGGGGAGGGGGGGGGTGCGAGGGCCCGCGTCCATCGGCAAAACAGTGGATCAAAGAACGGTCACCTGCACCGTTCGGCGTGGGTTCCATGTTCCAGGGCTCTGCGGTGGCCGCAACCGAGATGGCGGCAGCAGCGGGCCCGCCGTCGGCTCCACCTGCGGCTGCGCCCCCCGTGGACAGTTGCAAGCAGAGTTGGTTCACGTGTGTGTATGGCTGCGTCGGCTGGACGCGTGTGCATAAAGCGCTGATGCAGCAGAGGGTGCTGCTTGGCATCTCTCGTTTCGTGGCCTCTCCTGTGCGGCTCCTGGTCATCGATTCCGCCCCGTGGCACGAGGAGCTGCGGCGGCAAATGCGTCATCATTGAGTGTCCTGCTTCTGTTTCGTCTTCTTCGGCTCCTGGCCCGTCTTGGCGCTCGGGGAGTTCTGAGAGAGAGGGATGTGATATTCCATATCGCTTCGCGATTGATCCTCCTCCTCCTCCGCCTCCTCCTCCTCCTTCTCCTCCTCCTCCTCCTCGCACATCCCTCCTCCACCCCGTCATCCTCTTCATCGTAATGTGTATCCTCAAGCTAGCGTTGGCGCCTGTGTGGCCCAAGCATGGCGCCAATGGCTCACGAGGAGGGCCCCTGGACAATGGTCACGAGGAAAGCCCACCTGAAACCACATAGACGCACCCAAGACCAGACAAGCGCCCGTCCTGTCTCCTTCCTCCTCCTGCCTCCTACCTCCTCCTCCTCTTCTTCTTCTTTTTCCTCCTCCTCCTCCTCCTCCTTCTCCTCCTGCATCTTGCCTCCTGTCTCCTCCTCCTCCTCCTCCTCCTCCTCCTCCTCCTCCTCGTCTTAGCGCCAGGCGCGACGACTCCCCGTAGTGCCGAACTCCTCCTTCCTCCTCCTCCTCCACTCCTCCTCCTCCTCCCCTCTGCCTCCTCCTCCTCCTCTTCCCTGACCCTCCCCTTAAATCATCCTCCTCTTGCTCCTCCTCCTTTTCCCCTCCTCCTTCCTCCACCTCCTCTCCCTCTGCGCCTCTCTCCTCCTCCTCCTCCTCCTCTTTCGTCCTCCTCCTGCTTGCTCCTTCCTCCTCTGTGTTTTGTCTTTCTCTCTTTCTCTTTTTTTCGCTCTCTCTCTCTCTCTCCTCTCTCTCTCTCTCTCTCCTCTCTATCTCTATCTTCTATGTGTAATATCATACAACACACTAGAACCATCGCGCGCTTCGCGCGCGCTCACGTTCTAGCTAGGCTTGATCGGCTAACTCATGTAATATCATGTTGGTCGCTAACTGCGTCCAGGGGCTCCCTTGGAGACCCTGCGCAAGCCTCGGAATCGTATAGAAGGGGAAGTGCGGAAACGCAGAAATCATTCATTTCCTTTAGGTGTTGAGCGATTTGGGGTCCTCAAAGGATTTCTGGGTTCTTTTTTAAAGAGGTGAGGGGGGTCTGAATTGTGGTCTGTTGTGCAAGAGTAGACCGGGGGCCAAACTTGGAGAAAAACATGAATTGTGGGATTTCAATTTTTGTCCAGTTCCTCGGCGCTGTTCGGCGCTGTTTTTGTTTGTGCCTCGCGGGTTTTGTTAGCCGGGCCCCTCAGGGGTGTGGGATCTTCCGGACCCCCTGGGGGTTCTGGAGGTAGGCCCGCTGGAGGCCTGGGAAGAGGCCGTCGCCTTTTGTGTCTTCGGGCTGCGCGGGAAGCAGCGGACGCCGTTCTTTTACATCTGGTGGGTCTACTTTGGGTCGTCCCTGGGCTGTCCTTGGCGTCCTGGGGGCCCCCGTAAGGGTGGTATCTTTGTGTAGGTGGCTTGTGTGTTTCCTGGTTTCTCATTTCCCTCTGCTGTCTCCCTCTCTCTCTCTCTCTCTCTCTCTCTCTCTCTCTCTCTCTCTCTCTCTCTCTCTCTCTCTCTCTCTCTCTCTCTCTTTCTCCCTCTCGTTCTTTCTGTCTGTATTAGTTTTTCGTGTGCTTTTGATTGGATTTCAATGAAAGGAGAGCGGAGCCCAGATCCAGAGGATTTCTATTTGGATTCTAATTAGATTCCAATTGGATTTCAATAGAAATGGAATGGATTCCGCACCCATAAGATTCTATTGAAATCCAATGTGATTTCAATAGAATTTCAATAGAAAGAGAACGGGTCCCAGGTCCAGAGGATT